TCTGCTTTACTTATTGCATTCCAATTTTCATTCATTTTTGAATTCTTTTATTTGTAAAAATTGTTGCAAAGTATTATATGTATTATGTATTATAAAATAACAACAACTACACCGAATTACTTCTCATTCGGTGAACGAAATTTAAAATAGTATGAAAACAGAATATCTCGTGAATAATCATTTTTTCTTTTTCTTTTTAATAATAATTTTTATCACTATATTACAATATCTTTTTATTTGTATTAAATATTTTCATTTTTAAAAATATATAATTCTTAAATTTTTCATTTAATAATAGCGTAATCGATAAGTAGATCGATAAATAAAAAATCGAACTTCGAAAATTATTAAATATTTGTTGTATTTAAATAAAAAAAAATTCATTATGTTGCATAAAAAATAACATTATTTTATACTTGTAAATTTGTATGCTTTACTTTAATTATATTTAATGTTCGAATAATTTAAAAATATTTGTTAACAAAAATTATGAAATCACTTGAAATACTTCATATATCTTTTAAAAAACATAATATTCTATAGTTGCAGAAATTATAGGGACACATAATCATATGGATCGAATTCCAATTATGAGATATATTTTTTTCAATTGGATTCTGTTTCCTTGTGTGGAAGTAGAACTGATCTTCGAAACATCGATCAGAATTTAATGCATTACATTAAACTTTTAAATTCAATTACATTACAAGAAATATACTAGTAAGGAAAAAACTCATGAACTTCACTTCATTTCGATTTAAGTATTCGCTCTATATTTTTCTTTTATGCGAGATGTAAAAAGAACTTTTTATAAAATTTTCTTTGTAACATATAAATTAAAATCAAAACATTTTTGTATCGTTTATATTCTGAATTTGAAAATACTAGTCATTCAGCATAATAAATGATCAACAAGAAATCATTCTTATCACAAATATCATCCCGCAAAGCAATTCAAACATTTATCAACCAACCATCTAAAATGAGACAGCCTTTCATCTTCACAACGTCATCGAATCGCTTTATCCAGAAAAGCTTTGCCCTCGACTTATAGTAGAAGGACGAAGTGAATCGTCAGCTCGTCGTAGAGAGAACGAGCCCGCAAGCACGGTCGACACACATTTCTGTTCAGAGAAGAAAAGCAGCCGACACAGAAAATCGATTTAGACGTTTCACAAAAGCTGATTCGCCTTGATCCGTTTTGCTGGACGGTCTTTTTCCATACGATGGACAGCTCGATTTTTCCCTCCTATATTTTTCCCTCTTACCCCGCCTACTCTCGTATTTCTGCGAGGAGAAAGCGATATAGAACTTTATACATATACTAGGGGGGAACCGCATTCGCCATAGTTTATTGTGCGAGTTAGAAGAAACATTTTTCTCGCGTTATAGCTTCTCGAACCATCGCACGGATCTCCCTTTTTTCTTTCTCTTTCTCTATTTTTCTTCTACGAAAAAAGGAATACAATTTTGTTCTTTTCTTTAATCGACCTTGACCGTGCTTTTCTCGATAGCCACATGACAATGGCGCGACCGCCGACTGAACCGCGTTCTTCGAGCCTTTCGAACTCGATGCCAACGAAACGTTCCAGCTAGCTTGATAAATCACGTATCCCGGCTTCGAAAGGCGAATCGAATGAGCGTATTCAGCGAAAAATGAAAGAATTTCCAAGTAGTATGGTTAAGAATAGATGTAAATTCATGTGCATGTAACTTTATATGTATGAGAGATAGGCAAATTATTTTAGTAATAGAAAAAATTGAGCCGAGTACTCGGTTTTTGCCAGTTTGAGGTTAAAACCTTGGATACCTCGTTCGTTAAGTGACTGCTTTGACCAATTATGTCTAATTATGTCTCTTGAGATTCCAAATATGGCTGCCGCCTACGGCAAATAGTAGCCGAGGATATACATATATATATATATATTTTTTTTTAATAATAATGATACAAGATTACTTGAGATAATATAGTTCAATTTGAAAATAAATTTATAGCGGTATTATTCATACGTAAATTTCTTTTTGATGTTAAATAAATGATGTTAATAAATAAATTATTGATTGATATTTTAAGTTTTTAAGTTTTTGAAAGTAAATTCGTTTATTCCATTAAAAAGTTGAAGAAAAAACTGATTATTTTTCGTAAAAATGAAAAGTGAAAATAATAAGAATGATTTTTATTTTTCAAAATTATATAAAATTATATAAAATTAAATATTTTTCAAAAGAAAATTAGAAAATTTTTCGAAACTATGGAAATTAAAATAAAAAAATAAAAAAACACATTATTAAAATTTTGTATTTGTATTTAATAAGATTTTGAAGATTGATATATTAAATTTTTATTTTGAGTCAAATTGGTCCAAAAAAAGCAACAAGAATATAGCCAGAAATATGCAATATCCAAAAAATTTAATAAAATGAAATGAGAAGAAAGACAACGGTTATTATCAAGCTCGACAAGCGTAGCGATGATTTATTAACGCGTACCCTGCCGTGTGGGTTGCATATGTTTTAAGTTTTTGACGTTTACGACATGCACCATCGGTGGTACACGTACCATGAACGGAAAGCAAAACAACGAGTTAACAGAGTATTAACGAATGTGTTAACAATGAACGCGTGCCAATTCGATCGTCTAATTCGAATTAAAGTGGAAAAAAGTAAAAAAAATCTATTTTATTTGTTTATTTTACATTTGTTTTAATAATTAAACATGAGCATTGTCTATCTTATCGAATACCATGAAAATATAATCATCAGTTGTTTATTAATAATCTCCATGTAAAATAAAAATTATAAAATTAAAAAAAAATAAATGTATTCTTTTTCTCTTTTGATTTTTATATAATATTATATATAATATTTGATCAAGAACAAATATGTTGATGTTTCCTTTGAGAAAATGTCGTTCACGAATTAAAATAATTAAGTAATAGAGTATCTTTAGCGAAATGAAAGGTCTCGTGTTTGCTGCTCTCTCTGGTATCCAGGCCGGAATGATAGTTTGCCATGAATTTCAATTTGTACGATTAATTGTAACGAAAGCTTCCGCGGTATTGCAATTCTCCATGGAAAATATTTCTTGAAAACTCAACATTAGCTTAACAGAACTGATTTTATTGCATTCGAATTTTTTTTACAATTGTCGTAAACTAAAACACGAATAAATTATTAAAATTTTTGGCTATTTAAATCAAAACGTTAGAACTATAAAAAATTTATATTTGCTTCTATCAAAAGAAATAAAAATAATAAGAATGTTGAAAAAATAAATAATCCGAAGAAAAAGTGCATGTTATATTAAAAATTTCGATCAATATATGTTAGAGAATGAATAATACGTTATAGAATATAATTTTTATATGCAATATTATAATAAATCATATTTTTATAATATTACAAGAGAGCAATCGTGAGCAATCATAAGTATTAATATTTTATTAATACTTTAAAAATCGATAAATGATACAATTAATAATAAATTTACTACCCTAAATCAATCACATAAAAAAATAAAATCTAAAAATTCATAACATTATTCCTTTAGTAAATCATAACCTGTACAAAATACTGTGAAAAATACTGAACTGTATCTAACAAGAAATAAGTTGACCTACGTGCCATTTAAAATTTCTTTATAACAAAAATTTTAATTTTTATGCAATAAATAGATTAATTCATTTCATTAAATATAATGATGCAGTTTTTTTTCGTTCCTCCATTAAACCGCACCTATATTGAACATGACCAAATGTACACTACATCGTCAATTAATTACAAACAGGGGAGGAGGATCGGGCGATTATGGTGGATACGAAAATAGCTGGAAATAGCGTGCATAATCCGTGCGAAAAGGGGCCGCGCAAATATTTGCATCTATTTTACACTCCATCGATGCCGCTGAATTTTGAATGCATGTTATTTTTAGCAGAATAGGTTGAGTGTATGTCGATCTATTCTTTAGCCCGCGGCTTATACTTGCTCACGCGCACAACCAACCACATATTCTGTCATTATATTGCCATGTATATGTACGGTCATTGATTTAATAATTTATACATATCGAGACGTGAAATAAAAACTAAAGAAGAGAAATCAATAGGAGACAGAGGAACACCGATTAACGTATAAAGTATAGGTACTCGGTCATCTCTGTGATTGGTGCCAATTAAACAGCCTCGTTGGACCAGTTAAGAGGACACTTTTCACGAGTAGCGACAACTTTGTAAAAAAATACGCGACGATTCTCTATAGTAGACGATAGTAGGTATAATTCACAAAGCGTGGAGAACGTACCGTCATGACTTTCACAATACAATTAATTCACAGTGCTTGGAAGGGAACTTCAGAAAGAAGAGGGGAAAGGGAAACGGCTCTACAGCGTGAGCTCTTGGAGAGAAGAAAGAACTGGTGAAATTATGATCTCGTTAGAATGACATGGAATATGATCAAAGGTAACTCTTTGTTCATTAATTAGCCAGAGGTGTAAATTTATGATAGTATTCGATAAAAAAAGAGAAATAACAATGATAAGTAAATTTAACCGCCAATGACGTAAGTACTGATTTACGATCGATCAACAGTACTGTATATGTTACCGCGCGAAATTTGGTTTCATACTGAATTATTTTGCTTATTATGCTTCGCTTAAACGTAAATCAAAAAAAAAAGTGTAATATTATGTACGTATAACATAGAAATAACAAACAAATGACAGAAAAAAGAAGAGATATTAATATCGTTAGTGCGAGGGTGTATATCCGTTGTTTAATCGGAAAAAGTGGCAGTCATACAGACACGAAAAGATATTTCGTTGATCGAATTATAATTTTACATTGATGGTCCAATGACCGTAACTTACTGAATAAGAGTACGAATATGTAAAACGATACTATATGATTTATATCTAACAGCAGTCGAAAATTGTGTGAATGCAAAGGATAAAGGAGAAAGAGGAAGGGTGCGGTAGACATATTAGAGCAAGTGACAAGACTCACCTTGTCTGAGGGTATGTTGCGCGAACTCATCGTAGATGATGGCGAGGGTGTCGCAAGGAATCCAGAGGCCGTCCGTAATTTGACCCAAAGCCGACTTCCCGAATGGCACAGGTATTTAACAAATGGTGACAGCAGTGAAAAGCCAGTGTGCGACGCACTTACTCGATGAAAACACACTCACGCACAGCTCACTATTCCGGGACCATTTCGGCCCGAGCCTTCGCTGCCCGATCACACACTCCGACACCTGTCGTTACTTGTACATGTCGGGCGCAAAGTATTTGGGTAACATCTTGCAGATAATACACGGAATACGCTCTGTAGTTTGCACCACACGCACCCACCGTCCCAGTCTCAGAGCCAAACATATAAAATGGCGATCCTGAGACGATGCAGCCTTCTGGGGAAGCTTCGGTCACAGAGTACGCGATTCTACTAGTTGCCCTGTTTGATGCTCATGACAGGTGGCAGTGGGAGGAATACTAGTAGCGCTATCTTCGGCACATTTTGGTACTATATTACAAATTGAATTTGTAATAACCATGCAAACGAAGCTTACCGTAAACATATGAAAAGCCATAAATTGAAAACAATTATTTTAATTATTTTCATTATGATTATTATTGAAAAATTATAGAATCGAAGCAATAATATTTTTATTTTCTTTGAAAACTATAAATTATTTAATATTGATTGAATTTAATATTATTGTGAATAGTACTTTATATATACTAGTTAGCATTAAAATTATCACATAACCTCTTCGATTATTCTGCAAACATTAACATTTTGACAGTTCTCGAATGATAGATTATACTTTACTATTTAAGCGTTAATTGCATGTATATAATTATAAATTATGTATAGAATTAAAAATATCATCTATATCTGACGCATAATGAGTTTATTGTGATAAGTTACTTATAAAAGTATTTGAAAAAAAATGTCTGCAATTATAGATGATAAAGTAGTTGCAGGAGCAAAATCTGCAAATATTGTTAAAGAAGATCCTATTGTAGCATTGACGGTATTTATACCGTTTTAATAATAGAATTTAGAAAACTATAACATATTTTTTTTTATTGATATAGATAATTACTGTGAATTACCTTTTTCCTTTATTTCCTTGTTATTTAACAATGAGTTTTAATGCAAGAAAATATAATTTCATTTATAAATTTAGTTCTATCTTTATTTTCTATTTGTATAAAATTTATTTTATCTATTTATTTTAGGAAAAAGTTAATGCATTATATTTTTTTCGAGATCACTATTTTGAAAATCATTCTATCGAAGAAGCCATTAAAAAGAATAATGATTTAGAAAAAGAGATGAAAGATACTTTAAATAAATTTGATGAATGTAAAGGCTATGAAATTGATGGATCAAGAGCAAAATATTATTATCTAAAGGGAAAAGCTTTAAATGTTACAGAACGTTTTATACCTCAAGCAGAAGAGTTATTAACAAAAGCAGTGAAATTAGAACCTAATTTAGTAGAAGCATGGAATGAATTAGGAGAATGTTATTGGAAAAATGATGACATTCAACAAGCAAAAAATTGTTTTGTTGGAGCTTTACGTCATGTAAAATCCTTTTTCTTAATTATTATATCTTATTATTTTTTATATTAATTATTAATTATATATCATATAATTAAATTATAATAATAAAAATTATAGGGTAAGAATAAAGTATCCTTAAGAAATTTATCAATGGTATTTAGACAAGAACCAGTTCTTAATGTTGAACAACGAATGCAAAATATACAGAAAGGTGTAGAACATGCTAAAGAAGCAGTTAGCCTTGATACAACAGATGGAATTTCTTGGGCAATATTAGGAAATGCTTATTTGTCTTCCTTTTTTACAGTAGCACAAAATCCTGCAATTTTACGACTTTGCATGTCAGCTTATGCACAAGCAGTAAGTCTTATAATAATTTTTATTGTTAATTAGTAGTAAACATTTAAATTATTTATAGGAAAAAGATATTGTAGCAGGAAGTAATCCTGATTTATTTCATAATAAGGCAGTGGTAAGCATTATTTTTTTTCAATACAATTTATAAATTTTAATTCCTAATTCCTAATGTAATTAAATAAAATACACATTAGGCCTTAAAATATCAAGAAGAATATAGTTTAGCATTAAAGTCTTTTGAAAGGGCAATGCTATTAGATCCATTATGGGAAACACCACGTAATAAAAGAGATGAATTATTACAATATTTAAAAGATGTACAAAATTCAGTAAATAATAGTGGGAGAGTAAAACCGAAGAGATTGTATCAAATGATAAGGGTATTTAAATTTTTTTTGGACAATATTTTTTTTTCTATTTATAAGAATGTAATTTCAAGATGATTCATATTATTTTATAAACTTAATACATGATGCTGGTACCTATACATATTTATAGGTTTCTGATTAAATGTAGGCATTGGATATTAAGCATTTGGGACCATACAAAGGTGGCTCTTTCACATCCGGTCAGAAGACTGTAAAATTAGATTTAATATTATTGAAAGATTTAGTCCTAGGATTAAATCCAGAGAAAGTTATATTTGGAAAAGTAGTATGTTGGATACAAGATACTGATTGTGTACCTTTGTAAGTAAATTTTTTATATTAAACAATATTAACGTAAAAACGATTAAACAAATAAGAAATTTATTAATAAGATTCACAAATACGTGTTGAATCTTTTTAGCGCTTTTTGCCTTGTTGATGAAGAAAAAACGTGTATTGCTGTAACAGTATACAATCTTGCTAAAGGTCGTGGAGTTACTGTAGGAGATTCTGTTGCTATACCCGAACCATTCGTGATTCATCAAAAGTTTTCTTATCTTAACAATGTTAATATTATTTTAATGTTATATATACTTGTTCTAAAATTAACGATTATATAAGTATATCCTTTTTCAGGATTTTGATTTCAAATCTATACGTGTCGAAACTCCGGTTATATTGGTTGTTAATGGAAGAAAATTAGGTAGGGAACAAGAAGCATCTGCAAAATTGCATACTTTTAAAAAAACCGATTAAGATTTACGTACAAAAATTCATTCTGAATTAGTGAAATATAATTAATAATGAGATTTTTTTCATCTCAAATTTAAATTAATGTCAGTAAATAGACAATGTGATATTTAAATTTTGAATCTAAGTAATAATTATACATTAACAGAATTTAATAATCTTACCACAGTCAATATTTCTGAAGATAGGTTGATCTATTTACAATTGTTGCGCGTTTTACAATAGAAAATGTGTAAATTTGAAGTGATGAAAGTTCTAAATGTCTTAAATGTTTTCAATTTATTTCCGATATATTGATTTATAGAGAAGCTTGAAGAATTCGAATACATGGATTTTTATGAAATTTTCTATATATATAATAAAAAATAAATTCATTTAAATAATTCTATCTTAGAATATTGTAAAAGCACTTTTGAGTGTTATATGATAAGCAATAAAAATTTTTATATATAATATATCAAAATTTTATAAAAATTAATAAGCATATATTCTTCAAGTTTCTCTTGTTGATTCAAAAATTACAGAATGTTTTATATATAATATAATCGGATTTTATATAAAAATACTGATTCTTATAATATATCTACATGTATTTCTTAATTTTCAAATAATTTCAAATAATTTTCAAATAATTATTTAAAAAATTATTATATATTTGAATGTTCTTCATTTTTTTTTTTTTGAATTTGTTTCGTATTTTTAGTATGTTTATTGTTATGATTTCATGATAACGAGGAAAGTTAGAAAATAAGCTAAAAGATATAATCCGTTAATATTTAAAAAAATAAAATAAACCGATTTTTCCTATAAATTTTACTCCATCAATCGTTTTACCGTGCCAATAATATAACTTTTTCTTATTCGTACAAAACAAAAACTAGACGTTCTTTTATACTCAAATACTCACACAAATTTATTTTAACTCTGCTGAAATAACGTCCATAAATTTGTAAGGATAAAACATATTGTAAAATATATAATACGTAGATTTATTTTCAAAAATATTGAAATTGATTTATCGAAGTTAACACTCGAGAAGAAAATTAGCGAGAAAAAAGAAAAAAACCACGAATCCTATTTCTGTTTTGTCGCTATATTTCTGAAGAGCTTAAACGAAAAAACAGATATTATTAAAACAATATCAAAAATAAACCGACAAACATAGGAATAGGATATCGTATTTTTTTTCAGTCATTTTTTCACGAAAATTGCTTGTGATATATATATACGATATATATATATTTAAAACGTTTGTATAAAAATGTTTTCTATCGTCGATTATATTAATAAATACTTATTTAATAACAATATAGTAGTTGGGCGTTTCTCTATTAAATTCTAACGTCCGTTTGACGGAGAAACAATAGTGAACATCCAGCAGACCGTGACTAACGATTGTTCGAACACTAATCGTTCTACGACAATCAAATGATCTTTCCATATCGAAGTCATCGATCTTCCTCTTCTAATATACATACATGTATATCATGGTCCGCCACATTCAAATACGATCGGTACGTAATTTTACGTAAATATGACGGAGGTGTACCAATTTTCTCCTTTCAGGACGTATTTTTTTATTTCACATATTTACCTCCCATAACTTAAAGTAATTATCAATAACCTCAAGGAACCATTCGCGTCGTTGAGGATCTTTGAAAATGGGTGCCAGTGTCTTTAGCTGTAGTTGCAGTAATGCCTCGTTACCCAACAAACTATCCAGTTGCTTCAGCAACATCGCATCACCATGTAATTTCAGCAAACTGGCGTATGAGAAAATGTAATATTGGTTTCGAAGCCGTTCCACCGCCCATGACTCGACGGTGCGATTTCCGCTCGCTGCTTGTATGGAGCCCATGTGCTCCGCGTACCACGGTGAAAAGTAGTTGTTCAATTCGATATTCGATAGATCTGCTACGCCACGGGTCTTCAATCGTTCTTTGATACGTAGATACGCTTGTTGTGTATACACGAACACCTGAAACGGATATATCATGTAAATACAGGTACATATAAAGGAATATTTTTTATTTAAAATACACGATCGTAAAATTGTCTCGAAGGATACGTGCTTTAAAAGAAGAGAAAGTTATTTTATATTAAAGAAAAGAAAAACTATACGCTGATATTTCAAGGACATGTTTATCTTACAAAAAATATGCATCCTTCAAAATATTAAAATATTAAACAACGAATAGTTATTAAAGATAACTATATAAAAAAATTATCATACATAAATAGACATAAATGAATCGTATTATCTACATAAGCATATATATAATCGATTTTTTTGGAATATAAATCATAAATAAAGAAATTATATTCTATTGATTTAAATTTTAAAGAATAATTTTTTCTTTCTAATATATTTTCTTCAACTATATCCTGTATAAGATTTATATTTAATAATCTTGAGATTATTAATGCAATATTTAATAATCTGTATAATATTTAATAATATAATATAAAATTTAATAATTTTTAATAAGATTCATGTACTTGTATAATTCATATATTTCTATAATTAACTAGATGTTGAAAACACCGATCGTCATTTATTTTCTTGCATAGCAAATTTTTTTTATTTTAATAAGTTTTTCTTGGTAATTAATTTAACCAGTATACATTTGAGTATCACTATTCTACTTACAAATCTTTGGACTGGTCTTTAAGGTTTATATATACTGATAAAATGTAGATACAAGAGCACGTCACTCCGCCCGCGTGTTTAAATCACAGTTTCAGAGTGTAATTTTAATTGTATAAGAAAAACAATTATTATAAGAGAAAATTTCTTTGATGATGTTTTGCAACGTATGACTTAATGATTTCTAGGTAGAAATAAATCTTGAAGTAATAAATTTTATGCAATAAAATTTTTCCTCTTGCGCAAGCATTTTAGAAACAATATGAATATTCAAATATTCTATTCTTTATACTCGTATAAAGTAAATATTCAAATATACTCGAATTCAGAACGATCCGAACTAGAGAGGCAGTAATTCTAATCCTTACCTGATACAAAGAGTTTCCAGTGACGTAAGCGGCGATATAATGCGATCCAAAGTGTTTGATAAATCGCACTACACTCGCCGTATCACCGACCGTAACGTTCTCCGTTTCCCGAAGAACCGCCTCGTCAAGGATCATCGTTTCCGCGGTACCAGCCAATTTCTGATTCTCACGGAATCTGGCAACACGTACCAACACGTAACAATGATCACCTGTGATGAAGGACGAGTTGATGCCTAAATGGCGAGCAATGGCCGCCTTCGACCAGCTGGCGCTGAACGCTCGCCACGGCCTTTCGAGCCGCTCGAACGTGAAGTCCCGGAAGTATGCTTGCAGAAGTTGGCGAACATTGTCGCAAAACTCCATGTGGAAGTCTCCATCGAACACAGCGGTCTGTTGTCGTTGCCTGGTCATCATGGGGACAGGATTCCTGAAAACATCTAATGTCGGCTCACGGAAGATCCATGTCTCGGTGTCGTTTCTTGGGACCACTCTCATGCTGATGCTGAGGTAGCCGTAACGGCTGAAGATGTTCACGGCGCCGCCGAGACGCGGCCTCTGGGATCCGTTGCTGAACCGTATCCCGGTTAACAACGCGATCGTCCACGCCAGGAGCAAGAATCGCGTGCGCGACCACATCTCTCGCGGCTGCCTGCGGCGAAACCACCTGGAACAGGGGGACGAAGATTCCGTTCAGAATGAATATTGAACGAGGTAGAATGGAAGAAGTGAGAATGGAAATGCAAAGGGTGAATAATGATCGGGAATTTTTACCTTTTTAAGTTTGCTATAAGGAAAAAGAATTGTGCGTGAAATTAATAGTTTTGTAATAAATAAAAATTGGTTTGGTCGAGATCGACGAATCTACTAATAAAATTTCTGATATATTTAACTGCTCATTGATTAGGAAATCTCTATTCAATAACTATAAAATGATTTTTTAAATTATTTTTCTTCAATTTAGAATAAAAAAAAATCTAGATAAAAATTATCAAAAATATCGAATCTTACGGTTAATTAATTCTTGAGACGTAAAAGATGACAGGAATTTTCTCACATCTTTATAACACCATCGACAATTTCATTCACAGCCTCACCACGATCAATTAAAATCAAAGCAATACAAAATTAATCTCATAATTCTGAACGTAATCCTGTGCTTAATTATATTATTATCGTATGAAATCGTTTAGAACATAAACTTGGATTTTTCACGAAAACAAATCTGCACATTTACGTAGGAAAACACGCGTCTCGCGTTCTCAGCTCAGTGGCGTCTATCGACGTCTCAGATCCGCGAGTGCAACGCAACGAGTCGCCGGTAAATCGCCGCGAGTTATCTTGTTTTGTAGGTCTAGGTGCACATCGTCGAGGCGTTTGCAGAAGCAGTACTGCGGCCTTCATCCCCACCTGACAACCGGGCGAACACCTTCCTCTAACGCGGTTCTCCAGCATGCAAGGCACCACTGGCTGGGCGAGTGGTTTACGAACGTTTAGGATCTCCAGTCGGTGGAGATAGGCACCGATGCTAGTGCTATAATAATTAATGTTTGCCAATGTTTTTCAAGGAATATTAGTATTTTAACCTTTTTAGAAATTCATACGTGGATAGAAAATAGAAATGTGCTGACACATAGAGAGAAATTTATGACTTTTTATCTAAAATTTTAGTAACAGTGTTCATTGTGTGAATCCTAAGGCTTCATAAATGTCTAATTCACGATAAATGCGATGTTAAAATTGTAAAAATATGTGTCAATAGATAAATAGAAAGCTATTAATTTCAAATAATATTGAAACGGATAAACGAAATGCATAAGTTCGAATCCTATTTTATAAAGAAGAATATATAAACGTACATTGAATATCTGTATCGTTAACTTTATTAAAAAACTACCATTTGTCATTTCTAATCATATTGTCTGATGAATTCCTGAAAAAAATTGTATTTGCAACGACGAAAAGAATATAAAAGATATTTTTAAAACATCCATTATTAAATGCTTTCAATATTTCTTTACTGTCTAAATATAATCGAGGATCATTTAACACATCTGCTTATATTTTTATCAATTTACAAAACTATCTATTTTCTTTATCTTTCTCAAAGACAAGCCAATATAAATCACTAGGCAATAAGATACAATTATTTATTCGAAACGACAATATTCATAAACTCCAATGTATTGTGGATGTTCAACAAAATATGTATTCATTCTTCATAATAAAATAATAAAATAATTTGAAGACTTGAAAATCTGTTAAACGTTTACGAATTCTCATGCACGCATACATATATATGCGTTCGCGCTCATATTGCGTGACTAATTGATCTTAGGCTTGATCCTTCTTCGAGCATTTTTTTTCCCGCGTTTTCTCATGGATTCAGGAGGATCTAGAAGAAACGGTCGCTCGTTCGTCTCGGTTGGCCGCGTGCACGCGAGTCCGTGCATCTTGATAAATGTCCACGCGACACGATTGATCGTTATGCACGACGACTGCGATTTATGCGCTATTCCGCGTTAACGGTATATTACTAGTGAAGTGCGTTTGACAATGAAAAGCACCGAACGGTTTACTTCCGTGTTGATAACCGAGCGAGATATAATATTAGCTGTTCACCATTGTTCTTTCTCACGCCGGATAAGGAATGACTACTTTACATGAAAGACATTGATCACGACATGTTTGTATGTCCCGTTTTAATCGAAAGAATTTTAATGGTTTATCTATATCGGGATTGAGGTTGCCATTCAGTAACGATCGACTCGTTAATTGAATCGAAAAGGCAATTAATAAGGAATAAAAGCATTAACAGACGTATCAATGAGAGTTGGTATCTAAAAAAAAAAAAAAAAAATCTATTAATAGGTACATACTGATAGATAAAGTGTTAATAAGTCAGAAGTGATACAATGAGAAGATAGATATTCGGATATTCTTGTATGAATATCTAAATGTTTATCACTATTCACGTGACAAACATCCGCTATGGTAAAATAATGTCAAAGGTGACATACTTTCAATATGGAAAAAATATTAAAATGTTACCTTGGAAATGATATATATGTTATTTTTATTTTGTATTTCTAACATGATGATAAAGATAATTAATTTTAATTAAGCTAAATCATTTTTGATCTAATTAATTTAGCGATAAGAATATAATATTGTATTTGAGAATAAAGCTCGATTTAATTCTAAAATATCTTGGATTTGTACTTGTAATGTTAATTACATAAATTTAAATCTATTGATGTGAATCATCTTTAATTTATTTATTGTATTTCTGATTGAAAATTATATATCTCATATTTTATTTTGTATTTTTTTCAAATAAAAAATACGAGTTTATCATAAGAAAAAATCTTATAATCTAATAATAGTAAAATCTAATAACACGTAACAGAATCACTAAAAAAGTTTTCCGAAGGTTACGTCGTCAAACCTTCACCTATTCCTTTCTTTTATATTATGATGAGAATGTAAAAGTGTTTTAAGAAGAACAAGGTTTCATAATAATGTCGTTAATTATTTTCAATCACGTAACAACCAAAGTTATGTTTGTTTCTTGGACATCTTCCAACTTTAATTCGCAACTGGAAAAACACATTGGTTGATAATTATATATACTTGTTTTTCATCTCACAAAACATGAACAATCAAAGAATATAAATATAAAAACGATGCTTTTCAATTCTTGTTTCAAAAAATCAAAAGAATTTTTTTAATTTTTGAAAAATTAATTAATAAATCAATTTTTTTTTGTTAAATTAAATGTTCATACATAAATTGTTCATACATAAAGATTCAATCAGTGCATTTTTGCATACAATAAATCATTAAAACTCAAAGATGAAATCACTGTAAAGTATGAAGCAATCAATCTGTTGCTACGAATTCATTTCCTTTGAATTGCCACTACATGGCTTAATTAATAATTTGATTAATAGATTGTATATTTTCACAAAAGAAATAACTTCCCATTATCTTAGCATACAATGCAAAATTAGTATGTAAAAAATTGTTATATATTTATTACATAATTTTGTTACTGTAACTATATGAATATTATATTTATTACAAAATTATAATATAATATACATTTTATATGCATCTATTTTCAAAATATGTACAGAAGTAAGCTGTATACAGCCATATCTACGCTTACATAATAGGAAGTTATTTGTCCATTTATCTCGAAAGGAAGATCGTTCTACATACCCAGATTCCAGTTACAGCGTTGCAAACGAAAGTTTCCATACATATTCATAAGATTGCAACAAAGAGTTCAGTACAAAACTGACGGCAAAGTAACTTCATTCTTTGCCATCTTATTGTTAATCCTTCTAATGCGAAGCAAGAAAAAGAAAAAGTATGAAAGTAAACTGCTTTTCAACATCGATATCTAATATATGTATACTAAATCAATACGTAGGTAGAAAATTTCTGTAAAAAAAAATTTGCAATTAAAAAAAAAAGAATAGCAATTTATATCTTTTTATTATTACTGAGATGATATTGAATTTTATTAAGAGAATTTAAAAAATTTAATGATTAAAATAAAGAAAATATACAGTTCTTATAATACTTAATTAATCTTTATCATAACGTAATGAAATCCGTTATTGCAATTATCTATGCATGCTACATTTTAATTACTTCCAACGGTACACGATTAAATAAAATTAACGCCTACTAAAGCATAACACAGCTTTCAACATAAGACCCAATATACACAGCATAATGGAAACAATGTATTCTTCGACGTGCATCCGCCCAGCCGAAGACGGTGAAGCTTCCAAATTAGCAAAACGGAAGTGGAACAGGTTCCACTTTCGCCATTCTCCGTTAAGCGTATGAAAGTGGCTTGTCACCGCGATTAGAAGTTCACGGACGTTCTAAACAGGTGAAGTTTGCATGTATTGTTCAAGCGTTTAACCTAATTGACGTCTTCCTTAAAATTTCAAGGATAGAGAAAGGGAAATTTGCCGATTTATGATAAACGATTCCTATTAATGAAGACAACAATGTTAAGTTTCTAAATATGTTAAAACCTAACAAGGATTAAATTCGATTACTATCGGTACGTGACAAATATTTTCGTTTGAGCGTAACGTAGAAAGTTTCGTAAAATTGAACGAACATAAATATTATCGATATTTCTGCATGTTCATTCTCGCGATGCTGCAGTAAAAACATATAAACTGTTGTGTAACATGTATTATGCATCGAATGATCAACGAACGGGGGAGTCATAACAACCAGATAAACGACTTTATACGTATGTAATTTCTTACTGAGAAATTTTATAATTTCGATAGTATGATATATGAAAGAATAATTTGCATGTATTCTATTATATAATGCTAGAATATGTATCAATTAAATTAAAGTTTTAATAGAAAAAAATAAGAGCGATCTTTTATTGTTGACAAAATTTTAATTTTTTCAAATTATTTAATCATTTAATAGTATATAAAAAGTATGTTTTTAATTGTATGTATTGTATTAATTTAATGTAATGTATTAATTTAATTATTCATGCAGATAATTGAATAAGATTTGTGCAACATGAATATTTAAAAGTTTTAAGTTTCATTGAAAAATTATACAAGAGAAATTATATAAGAGAAAGTCAAAATACATATGACGTTAATAAAAATCGATAAAAAAAACACTTATATAAAACTAATCATAAGAAAATATATGCATGCAGTTGTAAATTTATAAGTCACTCATTTCATGAGAATACGTCTTCCGTATTTATCAATGGCTACGCATTCAAAGAGTTATTTAAACAATGTTGTGTACAGTTAATCAGCTGATTAGTTAGAAAGTTGAAAGTCCCTTTCTATTAACATCTAAGAAACTTATAGAAAATGTTAAATTTCCAAGGAATTGTATTGTACAATGAAAAGACATATATATAATCACCAACGAAACAAAAAATTATCTAAATTCCAAAATTTTTTTATCAAAATCAAAAAAGGAATTCCTTTTCTCTAATGAGATAATAAGATAAAAATGAAAAAAAAAAATCTGTCAATTTCGCAATTATTTTAAAAATCAACCTTAAAGTTAATCGTCATAACAACTGCGATCCACGCGCCTGTCACTAATTCGAAAAAGCACCTAACCGCACTGAAGATCACTCGAGTCGCGAGAATCACGATGTTATCGTCATACCTTGTCGAAGAAACGATGCGTCGGAGATGCAAAAAGTATTCTTATGGGACAATATCGTCGCAGAGGAAATTGTTGACAACGAATTCGATATGTTACCGTATGCGCGCGCGAGACAATAACGTGACGAATAACCGCGGTATATAAAAAACACCATTGAAAGAACAATCGAGTGCACGCTGCGATTCAGTTGTCGGTGGTACAAGAAGCGAGGTGGTACGTGACACAGAACTTAATGGGGAGGAATTATTTAAGTAGTGTGTTCGTGTGGTCGTCAGGATCACGAAAGGGGTCTTTGCGCAGTGGATTAGACATCGGAAGCGATATCATGCGCCCGGCTGAAATATTCGTCTTTTAAACCTATGACATATATTTAAGCAATAAAAATACCGACTTGTAATAATATATTCAAATATTTTAGATAATATTTATTTTAAATATTGTAAGTAATTATAAAAAATATATAATATCGAATAAGAAATAATAGAAATTTTGTCTTTTAAAGACAAGAGACTGACCTTCGAAGTGATTTTCAAGAATATATAAATTATCTGTTGCATTTAATTACCAGTTTCCTCGCACCTATTTTCCACATTTTACGGTGATTTATGACTATGGTAACTTAGTTCACGTGATTTAGCAAAATCGGAATTAGCTGAATCTGTAATATGCAAGTTTCAAAACTTACAGACATGAATCGTGTTCTCTAGATATAAGGTTTAAAAAAAGAGAAAGAAAGGAGTGTAATAAATGATTGTTACAATTATTCCGCTCGTGAATCACGATGCACGTGCACTTTAATGTCGTGACTATTATTTGCTGGTCTATCAATTTTGTATTCAGCATAATTCTCTCTGATTATTCCTAAAACGATATATTTGAATCACAAAAATGTAACTAAAAACAAGGACACTAAAAACAATTGAAAATTTGATCTAAAAAGATCAATCAATTTGATCAATGATTGAATCTTTTATTTTAAAGAAATTATAAATTAATTATTAAATTAAAATAAAGTGTAATTACCTATAATTTTTTTTACAAATAAAGATCATGATGAATGAA